ATGAGGACATTGCTAGAGCAATGCTAAATTAGCACTGATAGGAGAGAAAACGAGCAATGTTACACGCTCTTCTTGTGCTCATCGGCTCATGACTCTCGTCTTCCAACGGCCCACTTACAAAACTTCGGTGCTTGTCTTCCTGTGGCCCACCGTGGTAACTCGGAACCGAAACTTAAGACAGATGCAACCTGAACCCTACGTCAGCAAGCATCGCCGGTCCTCAATGAGGAGCTGTACAACCGGGCTACCCTTGGAAACGCGAAAAAGTTCGGAAGTTGTGGGCAAGGTTTTCATGATTGGCGAAACCAACCCGAAGCCCGAAACTGTGAACCTGAATGCTAATCTTCAAAAGAGCCCTGTAGTGCCAGTCATGAAACCTGAACTCTCGAATGTGCAGCTGTAGCCTGAAGCCGAGATCTTTCGAAACTTGCTTGCAAGGCAACCGTCATCAACTCCCTAAATCTGATGCCTTGGCCTGAGCCTGAAAGCCGGAATGGAAGCATAGCCAGTGGACTGCAGGGGTTCAGTGTGAAAGCAAACAAACCTGGTCGTGGAGGATGGCACGGAGGTTGCACTTCTTCTTGCAGCTTCAGGGCCCAATGCGCTCTGTGAGTTAAGGCTTGGATCTTTGGGGGTTTTGATTACCCCGCGAGCGACTCCGCGATAGATGTCGGACTTTTGGCTTCACGGCTGTAGTGTGCGGGACAGCGGCAACGGTGTAGAAGTCTCGATATTCGGTGGATCGGCTACCTACAGACTTTCATCTACTCCAAACCTAGAGCGCCCATGAGTAAGCTCGAAGTACTCAACTCGATCTGTCGTCGCCCGAGTCCTGAACCCGAAACGAGTCTTCGACCACCCGCGAGACTCTATGGAGGACGGACGTGTCCAGTCGCAAATAAAACCCTGGATGTATGTATGTGTATATATAGGTTCAGGCTTGCTCGCCGAGACAATCAGGAATCAAAGCGGCGTTGGCATAAGCCTCTAGCATGTTTGCTTTGCATAAAATTCAGAGCTTCAGAGCTTCGAGCTCAGGTATGTATGTATATACAGATACATCGGGGCATACTAGAAGGTGGGTCCGGGAGCCGGACGGAGTTGTAGCCTCCTCGAAACTTTAGGTGCTGCTTTAGCTCCTGGGCACTTCCAGACATGCTTGTGGTTGTTGTTTGGTTCAGGGTTGGAGGCAATCTGCAGAATCCTTTACTGCACGATTGTGCATGGTTTTCCAACCAGCAATACTCTGTACTGTTGAGGGTGCTGCCCATATTGGTCTTGGGCTTAGGCTTGGTGCAGCTGTACAGCCATGCAAGACTATGCCGTTCCACACTGAACTCCTAAACTGCCCAACTGAGTCACTTTGCAAAAGGAGACCCCGAATAAACAGGGTGTGTGTACTATTGGGGGAATCTATATCCAGAACACAAACAAGCACCTCAAACCCTGATCAGGAGCTATTTTTTGGGCTTCCGAAAACAGGGACCTCTTCATTTAGTACCCTAAATGGTAACAGTCGGATCCTTATTATAAGGATCCCAAAATACGGCACTTCTTATTTTTGGAAACACCCATTTGGGAACGGGTAAGCAAACAGCCGACGGCAGCTCCTGCGCCGTCCACCGGGGCGCTGCTGCGCCGCAGAAAAGCTCCTGAAGCTCTGAAGCCTCTGCAGAGCCACGGTGTAGGATTTAGGGTTCAGGGTTGCGGGCTCGGTTATAAGTAAGGTAACTATGGCCATATCTGCTCATAACCCTACTTACTAGGTCCCATGATCCTCTAAGCAAGGAGTAGGGGCTCTGGCGGGCAGCTGTACATTCGGGCTCTAACCAGGAATGTTTGCGGGTCTCTGCAGGATGTGCCAGTAATGCTTCTATACTGGGTTTACAAAGGCTCGATAGCGAATTGAGAAGGGCTGTTGCAGTTTCAGTCTAGGGCTTCGGGAATGCGTCTCTTGATGACACTCAGCAAACAAAGTCCATGGCCCAAGCCAGGCCTAAACAGTACATGCCCAAACCTCAAAGCCTCGAGACTGCCGCCTGCTGGCCTGTAGCCCTGAACCCGAAAACGGATGCAAAAAGCAAAGCCCACGACCTTGAAACCACACTGACTCCATGAAGCCCTAAACGGAGGAATATGACAGCAGTACCCATGGAATACTGGAGTCTATATCCGGGGTTCAGGCTCAACCTGGGTTTTCGGGATCGAGGTTGTCGAGATGAAAAACAGTTACGGGCCTGCAAGGCTTATGATTCGCATCCGTTTCGGCCCTTGAACACAAGGGTTTCGGTAGTCATGCGTCTGCTAGCCGTGATCTTTGGAATGTTGGCCCTCGCCACAAGCGAGAGTAATCAAGCCAAGATATACGGGCCTAATTACAACGTTTGGGGGTATATTGCGTAGTATGCTGATATGAAGGAACCTGACTGAGGGAATTGCATTCGTAATTACAAAAGCCTGCATAGTAGCTCCCCTCGAAACGGAGTTGAGTTGCTGCCGTTTTCCGTCGTCGACGTCACGAATGCAAGTCCCACATGTGGACACACTAGGTTATGCACTGGTCTTACAGTTCAGCATGGAGGCTCAGGTCCCCGTACACTACAGAAGCCAGACAGGGAAGCATACTGTATGTTGAGGCACCCCAATCCAGCCGACTGCAGCGAAGCTCCAAACCCTGAACATGAAACCCACTCTCCTGCACCCTTGACTTACCTTTGGTTAGTAGGGAATGGAAGAATGGTAGCAATAGTAGTTATACTTATACCCCATTCCTCAATTCTCTACTAACCAAAGGTAAGTTGAAGGCTTTGCAATCACGCACCTCGAAGGCCCAAATCGCCGGGGAGTCGCAAACCTCGGCGGCACATGGCCGAAGGGTGCTTGCGAGGGTCCAGGCTGTAGGGATTTCGGAGGTTCGGGCTTCTAGCGTGCGGATCTTGGGGCTGCTAAGGCTTGAATGCGCATCTGAAGAATTTCTTGTACAACTACGCACGTCTTTGAGAGTTAATGATTGCTAGAGGGACGAGGGACGGGTCCGGGCATCTTTCTGAATTTCAAGACTCAGAAGTAAAAGTTTTTCGCGGGTTTGACGAGTTTTGAAAGCTAAGCCGGCTTGGCACTGGGGATTCGTGGGACGGGTTGGAGAGGCGTCAGCAGCTTGGGGTTTAGAGCTTAAAACTTACATGATGGAAAGTCTTTTGGGTGAGATCCGCAAAATCGCGACGGTTCAGGGGTCATGAAGTCTTATCGTCAGGATGGAGTGTGAGACTGCCAGGCGTGGTGCATGGACGTAGCCGGACGACATATTGTCTGCCCAGGCACTGGCGGAACTTTCTCATTCGCTCTTTGCCTTACCGTAACCATGTTGGATCTTTCGAGCGATCATTGCAGAACCCTGCTGCAATCTAAAGAATGGCTGTTAAACCCAATATCCTTGATCCGAAACCCTCAGACCATAGACCCTGATGAAACCCGTCAGAATCTCGGAAATCTGCATCCTCCACTCCCGCTCGGAAAGCGACAACCTGCACGAGATGGAGGATCGGATGAATGCATGAACGGGCTCAAATTTTCTGCTCGGAGACTCGTCAACTGAAGGTGTACTTCGAAGAGATCTCTATATAGGAAGCCTAGAGAAGCGACAGAGCAGAAGCAAACTAGAATCGTGCAGAGAAGCTGTCTACATTGGCCTTTGGGTGAACCCCCAGTTTCTTGAGTCGAAAGGGTCGACGTTACGATATGTAGTGCAGCACAGCTTCAGGTCTCGATGATAATGTTTGCTATTCATACTATACTTCACCACCTCATGCCGCGAGTGTCTGCCCTAAACCACTCGAAAACAACGCTCCATTCAAAGGACCCTGAAAAGCATCCGCAGTCGGCTCAGCCGCCACCTGATGTGAGACGCCCAGTGTCGTGTGTCTTCCTTTGGAAGTAAGTGTTTGGTTTCTAGCATGGGGCCCCCAAGCCACTAAAGAACAGTGAAGCCTCACATAACTCGAAACCGCAAATCCCAGTCCGAGCGTTTTTTGAGGTCAATTTCGGCCATGTAGAATCTGTAAAAAAAACTCGTTGAAACCACTTGCACAAGCCAGCTAATCCAATGCAAAGCCCTGGAAACCCGAAGAAAGCCCTCAGACAGCCATAAGGCCCTGCCCCAAGTCTCGCCTGTTGCGCGATGCCATCCTTCAGCCACCATTGTGCTGACGACTCCACAAAGTCCTGCGAAGACGGCTGTTGTGGTCAAGAGTTAAGAATCAAGCAGGTTTGCGCTTAAAGGTTCGCGGCTTAGGATTTAAGGTTCTTCCGGGGGTTTAGGGCTTAGAGGTTTAGGAGCTTGGGACTAGGTGTGAAGAACAAGACATGGAAAAGAACAACAAAACTGACAGTGACATTGCTCGCACCAGCAGGTTCATGAATAGAAGTGCAGCGCCGTGGTCGTAGAAGCAAGAGTAGTCATGAGTTATTCACCAAACTTCCGGGAGGCTGGGCTTAGGTTCAGTGCTTGTGGGCCCAAGCGCTCGAGGCTCTGATTGCTTTGGTCCGGTTTTCAGAAGAGATCCGTAATGGCTTTCCAGCTACTCAGGTTTGAAGGTTTGATACGAGCAAGAAATGGCTTTAGGCGACAGGTCACCGCGATGCAGCCAAGACACACCGCCGACTTTTTGGCAGAAGCACTCGTGGAGTTCACAATTGGGGTGATACGGAATTAGACCTACCATTTCTTGGGTCGGTGTAAGAGCCATCACTCGACCTGTAAAAAGTTGGAGCTTGCGGATCGCGCTGCGGAAAATCCCGAGCACTTGTGATAGAAATGCGCAACACAGCCCTGGAAGTTCCAGTCTATCATGATGTTGAGCTATGAAGATACAAGATTCGTCTGCCGTGGCAGCAATCGACCGAAGCAGGCCGCGGGCATTTACAAGTTCGGGGCTCGCGACGCCGAAAATCCAGAAGCCTTGTCGTAAACGTGAAACGCTGCGCCTGCGAATGGAAATCTCTCACGATCTTGAGCCATTTGGCTGCAAGATTCCCTTGCCGTGCTGCCAATGGTAGAATAACCTCGAGACTAGAAAACTCACCACGGCGCTAGTCACAAAAATCACGGAGCCCACAAATCTCTGAAAAGCGATGCGGGTCCATATCTCCCAGAACACGAAAAGAAGGATGCTTGGTGTGGTCATGGCCGTGACCAGGGCATTGCGAAGGAACTCGGCTTTGCGGTTTCGCCCCTTTGCTCGCAAGCAGCGGGCGAAGATCATGGCCCAGGTGAACATGGTGGGATAAGTAAAGAGCCAGTAGATGGGGTATCTGACAAGCAACCTCTGGATAGCATCTTCTCTGAGAGCACTACTGCCTACCAGGCTAGCCAGATCGTCCATCAGGCTCCACAAGTATGGCGATGTCGACAACAGCCACCAAGTGTATGGAAAAGCGTCATAGCCGAGTTGCTGTTCCAGGGCAGTGGCCACAGAAGACCGAACAGCCTCATTGAAGGCCTGTTCCGAACCGAACCAAGTGATCAAACACTTGTTAATTGTGCTTCTATCGCATGGGAGCCGTTCAGAAGTGGTCGGGTGCACATGATTCACAGAGCAGCACCAGCAGCTGGTCTTCCGAAGCTCGAAGTTCTGCAGCTGAGTGCTCATCGCGTCCAGGGCCCGGAAGTGCGCACGAAATGTATCCACTATGAAGGAGGCGAAGAAGCAGATCAGAAGCGTTTTGATGGACCACTCCAGCCAAACGTTCCCTGAAGGGACCATGAGCCCGGAAAAGCCAAAGGTAAGAGAAGTAAGTGCCGTCGTAAGGGACACATAGCCAAGAGCGGCAGGGACCACTTTCAGTTTGGAGAGGTTCATGGTGGTGAGCATGTCGGGATGGGAACGGAGGAAGGCTGCTAGCTCAAAAACGCACCACAGCCTGTCCTAGGTTTTGTCCGAAGCCACTTGAGTCTTACGGAAAAGTCGAATATTATTTCACTTGAACACGATTTTTTCTTAAGCCAGCGTAGCTTCCACATAGGACTCGTCCCAGACAAGCAGAAGCGATTCGGATGCTTTCAGTATGGCTCCCAGGTTCAGTATTCCTTCCACCTTTTGGCGGCTGTCGAACTGGTTGATGCACACCCGGTCCAAAAAGATAATGCCACGAGGCCTCCAGAAGAGTAGAGTCAAGGGCGCAAGGACAAGGCCCGTGACAAGGCACCAAAAAGAATGTTGCAAGCCCGGCGCATCGGACTCGTACTCAGCTTTCACGTAGCCAGGCAAGAAGCCAAACTGCCAAATCGATATCATCAGCCCGGCACCAAGACCCGCTATGAGGAAGGCAGGTGCACCCCGCTTTAACATCACCAGAAGCAAACATTTTCTCCAAGTGGCAACCTGCCAGCTATGACTCACGAACTCGTCATAGGCTTCAGTGACAATGCTCAGATGGAAAAAGCTGTCACGCCCACCAGTCCAAAACACGCGTCCAAAGTCGGCAGAAGCGACGTGAGCTGGACATCCACGCAGAACTTCAGGGCGAGTTGGCTGCATGGCCTGCAGGAATGCCGCTACCGAGGCACTGGGGGAGACCCGGTCTGAGGCAGTATCAGATGCGGCGTCCCTGACTGACTCTGCATCAGATGGACCTTCAGGGCAATCATCCACGCCACTGTCCGATTCGGTGACAGCCACCAGTGCGAAGCCATGTTCATCAGGAACTTCCCAGTCTCTGAATGACTCGTCGCTCGACGGAACTTTCAAGCTTTCATCGGCATCGAGGTTTACAGAGACATCCACTGACTCGACGCTCAACCTTGGATTGCACACCTTAACCAACATGTCCCATTCAATGATGTACCACAGAAGTGCGAAAGCGGCTTCTACTCTGGAGCAAGTCGCCGGCGGCCGACGACCGTGGCCGATTCGGCATTGTCAGGCACCATTGCAAGCGCTCCTTTTCGGACTGCTGGCAGGCTTCCTCTAGGTATCAGGTTCGCGCATTCCGGCTTCATCCTTCTGATCTCGCGACTTCCGATCTGTCCAGATGGATCTGAAATGCAACTGCTCTTTGCAGGCCTGTCAGAGCATCGATGTTGCGAGCAAGCAGTTCATACTTAAGAGCAGGCAAGCATGTGTGAGGTCGACCAGCCCATGCTGAATTCTCTGATGTTCCTCTATCGCGTATGACCTTCCTGTCGGCATCCACGGTCAAGAAGCTAAAGAATGCCAACAAGAGATGCCCGACCGAAGAGGGCAACATAGGACTCTAACTAAGTCACACAGGCAACCTTGTCTTCGACTTTGATGTCGTCTTTGTCCTTTTTGTTGCTGCTTCAGAGGTCACAGTGCTGTCTCGTACGGCTATAACATGTTGAGACGGGGATTCCGGCTTGCACCGGCATTCTCCTTTCTCGAAATTAACCAACAATCCACGATCTCAATGCCTGAACCTTGCGGCCCTCACGTGCAGCAAGCCTCCAGATTGTCAATAGTCAGGCGGCCTGAGAATAGAGCCGTAACAGTGGCTGCACTGCTGAGAGCAGGCATAGTTGCACATTGACAGGTAGCAACAACGAACTGTAACGATAACACGGTTTTACTGCAAGACTACCATGTCAACTAAAACTATTGACATGACGGTGATGATGCCCAGAAACACAACAGTCTAAGGTAGCCTCCGCGAAGACTAACTCAGACAGCGACTAGGGCTGGAAACAAGGCCTTGAATCCGACACCCCTCACAAGCGGAGTTCTCTGAAAGCCACTGAGATCAACATGCATCCGGGGGTCCCTCCGTTCGCATCCCCCCTGCCCCAATGGTCCCTATGCGTGGTCATTCCCACCTCTTACCTTTGGTGTTTAGGGAGTGGAGGAATGGGGTACAATTATACCTACTCTTACCACCATTCTTCCATTCCCGACTAACCAAAGGCCCTTGGGGCTTCAGCTTCCGGGTTTTGTTCCGTTTCCGTGCTGTGGACCGATTGGGGGGAGTAGCGAAGCTCTGGGGTTCATGGGGGCTTTACAGAACCTGGAGCTTGTAAGCTTTTGGGCCTCGCGGTGTGCTTCGACCGGGTATGTAAACGGAATCTCGATCCTGGCGCGAAAGATACGAAATCGAACCCAAATGACCGTAATCACGGCTACCGAGGAATTCTGAAGCAACTTGATGGGGTGGTGATCTTAGTTCGGAGCGTTCAGCGCCGCCCTCGCAGAGCTCGATGCCTGGGGGGATATAGTTGCAGATCATCAGGCTTTTCGGTCTGGAACGGATTGCTTAAGTTTGGTACATGAAGAGAGAAGTAGATCTTAAACTCCAATCTAAAACCTTGGGTGGTAGAGCTATTGCACGAGATCCTGAAAGTCAATGATGTAAGTCCACTATCATATGGTGATGACAGCGGTCACTAGAAGAATAAGAATGGTGTCGTTGGAGAGGAAAGCCATGGCGATACACATTGCAATGAGCACGTTGATGATCAGGATGGCGATGATTAGCTATTAAGGCTTAATATGAGCTCATCTGAGTCTGTTGACTGTGTGGGTTCGTAGTTGTGGTCATTGCTAATCGGGATGATGGCTGTGATTCAGTTGAACTGGGCTGTATGCATGTGCTTGTGATGTCAGCGCTGCCGTTGCTAATGGGAGTTGATGAGCTTGTTGCCAATGCCTTTATGGCCGCAGTATGGACGTCATCTTAACTTTAAACTTTCAACCCGCGAACGATGACTGCTCTCTTGCGGACATTCCCACGACCCTGACTCCCTTTGGAGTGTTGCCATTGCGGTGCATGATGCTGTCCTTAATTCCTGCTGGCATAGTACTGACTGATTGGGTCACCCTTTCAGATGCACAAGGGCTTGACCTCAACAGGAAGGAATGAACGAAACCCACATGTCCAAGCAAAAATCCCACACCCTAAACCACCGAAGCTAAGCACCACAAATCCCCAAAGCAAAGAAAAGGCTGGCCCTGTGCAGTCTCCATGGTCGGCCTCCCGTTCCAGTCTCTAGGAAGCAGCAGTGCTGGGAGTACCTAAGACTCAGGAAGTAGAGTCTAGGGGCTTTACGCTTTAGGGGTAATTTGGCTTGAGGACAGAGTTTAGGTTCTTGGCGATCTAGGGGGTGGGATTTCAGGGTTTAGGGAGCGCAGGATTCATTGATTTTAAGCATTTTACGGTTTGGCGGTCAGTTTACAGCTTGGGGATAAGCTTGTGTTGTGCTTCGCGCACTGTTTGTCGGTGTAAGCTTTGGGGTTTGTGATTGCTTTCGGACACAAACTTTCAAAGTATTTGGTGCAACGGGTTTTTTGGGCATATCCTCAGTTAGATACCCTGTACCACCAATGGAGACTTTCGTACGAACCATGATATGAAGCCGAGATCGTTCTAAACGGCTCCCCTACTCTCCTGGACCTGAAAACTTCCAAAAACGCAATTCCATCCCCAAGTCCGAAAAACCCACAGCCCGGAACACCCAAGCCCACAACCCGAAACCCTATCAAGCTAATCACAAAAACCCAAATAGATCAATTCAGGGCCACAAGCCTGAAACTCCAAACCCCATCCATGCAGCAATGACTATGGTATACTCGGCTCCTGTTAGAGGGCAAGCAACCAAGACCAGGCTCACCTCGGCCCTTGGAGAAGGAATCAAGCTACAAGGCATTGCAAACCAAAACGCTGCCTTTGACCCTGTGAACCTTAGAACCATCCCCTAAACCTAAACCCTTCAGCCATCTCTCAAACTTACATCCAAAAGCCGATTCCCAGAAGCCCACCGGCACTGATCTGCCGGCTTATGCGTACGCATCCACCCACGGCTGCGCCACCAGAAACGTCCAGACATGTGCACGGCACGACGCACCGTGGCAATCGACTTGGGTGGCACTACGAACGGCCGGCAAGGTGGCGTTCCCCCGCGGGGACGGCCTTGAAAACAACACATGGAAATGAGCAAACACCAGAATCAAAACAAAACACATCCAGTACCCAATAAAATAAAATCCGCTCCCGTCTCACCTCCCCCTCCAATTATTCAATCTAGACAGTCACCTCAATAACCCTTTTAGTAGCCGATTTGAGGAACCCCTGTAGCAGCTGGTATCCCTCATGAGCGAATATTTCATGGCATCCGGCTCATTGAAGCTCATCTCACCAGCGGCTCCCTTGGCCTCACGAGCTGTCAAGTCCAGCGCTTTCAATTCAGGGCGTGTTCCGGGTTTTGGGTTTGGAGTTCTGAACTGCAGTTTCTTCAGGGTTCGGGATTGGAGATTCAGTGCTCCAGAGCGTTGTTTTGCCTAGAAGGGGTTAGGTACGGTTAGGCCTACAGTTTTTGGCGTTTGCTCTTGGCTCGGAGTTTGCCGCACTAGGGCCAAAAGACGTCGGGTTGTGGTCGAAGATGTATCGGCTGCGGGCAGGGTTCAAAGCTTTTGGATTTCGGGTCCTACAGGGTCATCGGATTTCAGGGTTTGGGCGGCTCTACAATCCTAAAAAAAGGGGCATGCTCAAGGGATGCCTGCAGGTAGGTGGCGCCCCACCCGGATTCTGCGGCTGCCTTCAGCCTGCCGGCACGATGGGGCAGACATCGCCGCCCGGATTCAAGGCTCGGGGTGCTTGGGACGTGCGCTCTGGGGTTCAGGCAAAAACCCTAAACCCTAAACCCTAAACCCTAGGGTTTAGGGTTTAGGGTTTAGGGTTAAGGATAACAAAGACTATCGAGGTCGGAATGACAAGTAACACTATTCCCAACGATGACACCATGGCCCGGGGTTAGACTGAACATTGCTGTCCTCACCATTCCCGTTGGCCTGGCTCATTATGAACAGCGGCAGCCCCAAGCAAGCTTTAAAACCGAACGCAGCTGCAACCTAGTTTCCTTAATCCTGAACCTCAAACCCCATACCCGTAACCACACACTCATACCTAGAACCTTAAAACTCAAATCCTGCAAGAGCTTGAAGCGGTTCCCGCACCGTCCTGATAAGCAGATAAACCTTGCACATTTTTAACGACAAGCTCTTGAACCTTTTTGAAAGCACAGCCCGTATGGAATCTTCTGAAACCCTTCTAGAACCCAAAAACCCGTACACAACCAACCCTGCCAGAAGCCGTTTGGGTACCTGACAGAAACTTTGTAGAATCCTATATTCCTATATATCCCTTTCGATTGCTCCTCCGGCCTCTCAGAACATCAAAACCTGTTTGGATACTTGATAGAACCGTTGGGTACCCGATAGAAACTTCCTTTTGATTGCTCCTCCGGCCTCTCAAATCATCAAAACCTCCAATATTTAACAGGAGCCCTATCTACACTCACCAAAACGGTAATATAAACCCTACTTCATATCCCTTTTGATTGCTCCTCCGGCCTCTCAGCTTGAGGACGTCCTCGCTGTGCTAAAGCGAAGGCCGCAGCGGCGCCCACGAATTCGCCGGACCAGCCGTCGCCTTTCGAGGGTTGACTGGTCAGGAGTTTGGGAGTTAGGGTTTAGGGTTTAGAGTATTGACTGTTCAGGAAGGAGATTTTTGTGTGTTTTCTTTTTTAAAGATGCAGCGGAGAAAGGTCAGGAAGGAGTTTAGGGATTTAGGGCGTGCGGTTGAGGGCTCCGGGCCCGACACAGCGCACGAGCTTTCTGGAACTCGAGGCTCACCAAACCAACTCTGGGCCCTCCCTAAGCCTGAAACCCTTAAAGGGAAGTCCAGAAAGTTGGAATATGGTTTCAGGGTAGGATACCCTATAATTTATCATAAAGGGTTTAGGAAAGTCATATTCCAACTTTCTCGATTTACTTTACAGTATCAACCCTTAACTCCGAACCCCGATTCCCCGAGACTCCCCCGACGCCCAGCGGACGCCATGGGAAGCAAAAACCGTTCAGCTAGGTCTGTGGGCTGTTAGAATGCCCCGATAACACCCTAGCAAACCTCTAGCCACTCCAAAAC